GAGGGGTTCATACTCGTCCACACTATTGGTTGCTTTGAATTCAAACCTTATGACGCAATTGAGCTTATGTCCCTCTGGACTAATTAAGAAATGCCTGCCCCAGATCCGACTTCTCCTGAGGAGTCGTTAACAAACAGATTTCATTTTGGGAGGTCGGTAGGCTCTATATCTGCTTCCATTTCTTGAAGAGTAAATTCAACCACAAAGTCTACCAGTGTCTAACCCTTAACTGCTGTCCTAGCCATTAAAAATATGCCCTTGTTTGAGCTCTATTCTTTTGAAAGAATGCATTTTTAACAGTATTTCAACATCATTTCAACCACACATTCTTCAATAAAATAATTTTACACTTAAATCCAAAATTTTTCCTTATTTTTTAACCACACATGTTCCATCAATACACTATTCAGAAATTCATTCTCTCTTCCAAAATGGAGCTCAAACAAGGGTTTTGTTAGATTCTCTCAGTTCGATAGCCCATTTTAGCAATCTCTCGGAAGCATCCGTCTTCTGGAGCACTTGCTTGAGAGGAAAATTGGTTAGGACTTCAACAGTGTATGCCTGAAAATAGGGCATCAGCTTTCATGAGGCAATGATTAGTGCAAAAGTAAGTTTTTCCATACCCGGATAGCATGTTTCAGTTGCCAGAAGTGCTTTGCTTATATAGTAAATAGGCAATTGTTGACCCTTATCTTCTCGTATTAACACAGAAGTAACTGCTTCTAAGGTTACAACTAAGTATAGCAGTAATGGTTTCCCATTTCTAGGTTCTGACAGAAGGGAGGCCTGGCCAAAGTGCTTCTTCAGTGCCTATAAGGTCCCTTCACACTCCTGTGGCCATTGGAATCAATCCCCCCTTTAAGGACTTTGAAAAATGGAATGCACTTATCTATCGCCTTTGACATGAAGAAGCACAGTGCTACTACTCGCCCTGTAAGGCTTTGGACCGCTTTAGGTTTTCGAGGTGACCTCATTTCCACCAAGGCCTTAATCTTGTTAGCTTAGCCTCAATACCTCTTTGATTTACCATATATCCTAAGAATTTTCTAGAGGCCACTCCAAAGGCACACTTAAGGAGATTCAATCTCATTCTATATCTACAGAGTATCTAGAAGATCTCCTCCAAGTGTTGGATGTGGTTGTCCACCTTCAAGTTTTTGGCAAGCATATCGTCCACAAAAACTTCCATGGTCTTAATGAGGAGGTCGACAAACATTTTGTTGACCAGTCTCTGGTAGGTGGCCCCAGCATTTTTCAACCTAAAAGGCATCACCCTGTAGCAATACAAGCCTCGATTTGTAATGAAGATGTATGTTCCTCGTTTGCAGTGTTCATGGGGATTTGGTTATAATCGAAATATGCATCCATTTAACTCAGCATCTCGTGGCCAGCCGTAAAATCAACTAACTGGTCTATTTATGGGAGTGAAAAAATGTGCTTTGGGCAAGCTCGATTTAGGTTAGTGAAGTCCACACACTCTCCACTTTTCGCTATACTTCTTGATAGTACCGCATTGGATACCTACTCTGGATAGGAGACTCCTAGATGAATTGACTAGCAATCAACTTCTGTACCTTGTCTTTCAATGCTTCATATCTCTCAGGGTTTAAGGCTCTCCTCTTTTGTCGGTGAGGATTTGCCTAGGGTCAATCTTCAAATGGTGACAGCCGGTCTTTGGATCTATTCCAACCACATCTTCATGTTTCCAAGCAAACAAATCTAGGTTGTTTTGCAAGAAACCCTTGAGCTTTTCTTTCAAGGCCGATGATAGGTTCTTGCCGACCTGCAGGTACTTGGAGAGTTGCGAGAGCCTACTTTGAAACTTTCCAACTTCTCCATTAGAGCTGTCTGGGGCTCATCTTCGATCATGCAAGGATCCAATTCATCAACTTAGGAAGCTTTTTCAACCACCATCCCTTCTTTAGGGACTGATTGGACCTCTATGGCCTCTTCTTCAGAGGCATCGATCATGTCGACGTCCTCTCCTTGCATAGGGTCTTCAATCTCATTGATTTCCACCAATATGACGTTTATACTTTGTGGTTCGACTTAAGCACGGAGCTCAAATAACACTCCCTGGCACTTCGCTGGTCACCTCTAACCGTAGCAATACCCTGCTCTATGGGGAACTTCATGTAGAGGTGGTGAATGGAAGTGACTGCCCATAATTCTTTCAAAGTAGGTCTTCCTAATACTCCATGGTACACTGAATGATGATCTACTACCAAAAATTTCATGAAATTGTGGGCCATGAGGGACGCCAACCCCATTTCTGTTGCCAATGTGATTTTTTCCCGGGGGATGATACTGTTATCTGTGAACCTGTATAGGAGAAGGTCACTGGCGTTAGCTCATGGTTCACCTCCATTTTGTCATAGGTGGTTCCATATATTATGTTGACTGAACTCCCATTGTCCACAAGCATCCTTTTAAGACCATTTCTGGCCAACTACCATTACAACTAGGGCATCACAATGGGGATAGTGTACCTAGCTGCGTCATCCTGAGTGAACGTGATACGTTGGATCTTCCTACTAATGTAGGACTGACTATTGCTAACTATGAAGCTAGCCATTAGGGAGGTCTTTAGCTTCTCTAATGTAGTTCTTTTGAGCATTTCTTGTCTCACCACCTACATACGACCCTCCCTCCAGATATGGTATCAATTTCTCGAATTGGCTCATGCCCGTCGTTTGGCGAAGGGCTTTTTCGATGTCTCCGACCTTCTTTAGGTCTGGCATGATCTTCACCATGCCTGCGTGAGCTATCTCTGTTGGGTCGATTGCTTCCATCATTCTTCCTCTGTTGACCCTGTTTGGGGGCCCCATATCCTTGCTGACATTCATTTCTCCTTTGGTTGGTTGGATGTCTAGCTAAGTCCAGCACCCTGACGTGCTATGACTATATGATTGATGGTAGGCACAGTATGGTGGGGCCTCGTTCATATTTCTAGTTCGAGTGCCTCGTCCTCGAGGGTCACTGCGGTGGTCTCTCCTGATATGCTTCGGTATATGTACTTCAATTTAAGCATGCACACTTTCGCCATAAGATCTTTTTTGGTGTTGAAAATTTGATAATCTTCCAAATCTACATCCTCAAAAAAAAAAATAATAATAATAATAATAATTAATTAATATTCTTCGACGTTGTCTCGAAGCATTTCCAGTCCACCTGTAGAAAAAGTAATGTTGTTCAATTTTCAGTGATGATATATCTTGAACTATCTCCAACTCATCCCAATCAACATTCCCATTTCGATCTACTTCATTTTCATCCTAAGCTTGCATTTTGTAATGCATATTACCACATTGATATTGTTTTTCGCTTTGTGAAATGGATCGTTATCCTCTTCTTGTGAAGCTGAACCGGACCTTTGCTCATAAAGGTAACGCAAATGGGACAATGATAATCTAGTTAATTGAGAAATACAAACCACTGCACTTGCTTTTCTAAAGTAATCTTAAATGAAATTGAAATTTGTACATTTCAAAGAGAAGAAATCTCAAGTCAATTTCATACACAGGTGAATTAACATTGCAAATGCTTAACACTTTATATGAAATATTTATAGATATTAGTAGTCCTTAAATAATTTGATCACTCCGACTCTGTATGTATGTCCTTTATCATCAAAATAAAATACATCAATCCATATTGTTGAGTCCATATCTTTAATTCAATAACAAAGTTCTAAATGTTTAACAAATAATCAATTTAGTAATTTAAAACAATTGTGATCGCTCATTCTAAACGAATGTAATGGTTAGCAAAATATATATATGCATCACAAGATTTTTTTTAAAAAAAATACGATTGAGAATAATATCTTACCAATACAAAATGTAAGGGTTTGTTGTCTTGATTGTACTTCATTATACTTTTAGTTAAACTAATAAAAAGAAGAAAGCCAGAACAAAGAACAAGATTTAAGGGAAACGACATCATTAACTTAGAGCAAAACAAGAGAAAGCAAAACGAGAGAAGAAGATTGTGGTGAAACCGATGTGTACGTTTTTTTTTTTTGACAAAGGATATTGTTGTCATTTCATGTTAAAGGGCATTTGAGACATTTAACAATATTAAAAAGAATAATTATATTTACACCACAATTTTTATTTCTTGTCCCACATTTAAATTGCATTTAAGGTTTTCAATCTTTGCTCGTTATAGCACTTGTGTCTAAAGATTTTTTATGTCGTTCCTATCTTCAAACTTTCCATTAACTTACAATTTGTATTTGATAACAGTTTTATGTCCAAAAATCCGTTGAAGTGGCATAAAATACTTTATTCTTCCATCATAATTTAAAAAATAAAAATAAGAAGTTCAAAAAATTATTTTCATTCATTTCAAAGTATGAAAACTTATTTTAATATAAATCATCAAGGACAAAACGTACTAATTAATAGAAGAATGAAGATAGGAATTCAATGAAAAAAAGTTTTAAAAAATAATTAATTGCTACAATGAACAAATACTGAGTATCTTAGTTGCAATAAATTAGTGATGTATAGAATAAAAATTGTAGTGACAATATAAACACCCTATTGAAAATGACAATTTAGACATTTAAAATAAAAGATGACTCAAGATTTATTTGAAGTTAGACCTCAAACAATTTCAAAGTGCTTGATTAAGTCTTTTTAACAAATGAGCCGGCTGTAGTGACTAGAAGGAAAACAAAATACTTGGGGAATTAACTCGTAAATTTGGTAACTACTTGGGATTTATACTTGAATATAGATACAATTAGGCTTGGACCTGCTTGTATGTTTAGAGAACGGAAAATCAAGCCAACACATTTTTTTTTTTTTTCCGATTTTGCTAATATTAATATATTAAATAATACAATACCACAAACAATTAAAATTTATTTTTATCTTCCCTAAATTCCTAAATTTTGGAAAATCAGTCCCACAAACCTGGAACCTCAACATAGACCAATGTCCATTGTAGATACAGAGAATTTCAAGCTCCCTCGTTTTTATGGCCATTCAATGTAAGGGAAAAGACAAAATCCATATTTATTGAGGAAAATTGAGAAGCCATTCGATAACATTTCCAGAATTCACCCTAGAGGGCAAGGGTGATTCTTAAGAGGGGAGGAGCTGATGCAAAGCTACCAGCATTAGAATTTCACCCTCAAGAGTAGTTCAGGTATTATAAATTTTTAATGTAGAAACAAAATGATAAAAAATTTACCTTCAACAACACGATGAAAGATACATGGATACAATTTGTATGTGTTTTCAAGTCAATGTCCTCCCACGCGATGCGACTTTATACTAAAGATCTGCTAGAATGAGCTTCCTTGCCTGCTCCGGATTTCTTTAAGTCTCCTCCATACCATCTTCCCGCAATGCCCAATAGTCAGCAATGCCATGAAGTAGAGCAGAGGTATGCCGATAATACAACCCCCCTGAGAAAGGTTCACGAGCGTCTGCAGGAGGAGCCAATAGGTCGTTTTAAATAAATGAAAAAACTACAGTTGGTCATACTCTAGAAAACATTTTGAACTTCCTTTTTTTTTTTTTCTTTTCATTTTGTTTAAAACGTTACTTCAATCCCAACTTCCATAAGATTCTATTCTAAACAAGGTTGAATAATCTACCCCAAAAAATAATAATAAATAGAGAATACTTAAAAACCAAGACCTTTTTGACCATTTTGGATACTTGGTTTATTGTGCATTCTGTAAGAATGACAAACAGGTAGAAATGAATAAGGACATTCAAAGCTTACATGGATATAAATTAGATCCTACTTAACTAATAACTTATTCCAACTTAAAATAACTAAAGTCAATTTAGCACCACGGTTTTCTAGAATGTTTTATGTTCTAGATGTTCTGACCAGATGCCTAAACAAATTGAATCGCCGCAAGGAACAAGCGAAAATATGGATTCTGCATACAGCCAATCAGTTTAGAGGACGTTTGCAGGAAGTAGAGGTGACACACTGACTTTTATAATAAAGCAGAATACTCACAAGCATTGCTGCTACAAGATGAACAGCGGGGACAAAATATTGGTCCACTTTATTTCCTTCTGCATATCCATTGAATGCTATAACCATCGACAAAGTATGGATGGTGACAAATGCAAGAGCTATAACAGCTGCAGATAAAGCAAAAGAAAGGCCATTTAGAACTGCACAACTCAGTTAAATTGAATAACAATAAATGAGAACTATTACTTCACAATGAAAAGTCAACGACTAAATGGGGGATCATCAAACATACAATGTGTATATACTACGGCATTTTACGTAGAAGGAACACAAGTTATCATCATGTCAAGGAAATTAAATGCTGAGTGAAATCAGCAATCAATAATTGATAGGTCAATCAATGCCATATGATCTTAGAAATTACCAATTTCACTTACCAGAGACCAGGAAAAATGACATCTGTGAGCATTTTTCTACATAATATGTGCCGGGCCCAAAGGCTGGAGTCAAAAGGCTCAGACAGAAGAAGACAGCATGGGCCACACCATGACCCATACCACCAGCTGCGCAATTAAAAAAAAAAAATAAATAAATAAATAGTACCAAATTAAAAGACACAAGACGAGAAATTAATCTGTTCTCTTTCATCAACACTGGTAAAACAACTCCATAAAGCCAATAAATCTCAGCTAACATAAATTACTATTTACTTGGATTCAGCTCCTAGAACCAGCAACATCTACTAAGTTAGTTGCATTGAAGTTCTTCTATGCAATCTAAAAAGCTTGCCTTCCTCGCGAAATCATTTGAACGTTAAAGGCTGATCACCATTCGTCAACATGATCAACCTGCTGAAACTGTCTTTCGGTTTGATTTGGTTAACTAACTGGATGGTGGACTTGTTAGCTATATGTATCAAGGCAGCATTGCACTAAAATATTTAATTTTCTTATCTAAATGATCAAGAATTTACCAGGAACCCAATTTAAGTAAAACATAAATCTTGAAGGTTCAAACTCAAAGTAAAAGTGTTACAAAAAAAAATTCATAAAAGAAGAGAACAGGACAAGAAAAAATAGAATACAGAGCAGTTACTTAGGGAATTGCATGCCTTAAATCACACAGTGAAAATATAAACTAAACATCACTCTCATTGCTCCATGGTTTCATAAACAACAAATATTTCACACGTAGCTCCATATTGATGTTTACATTGATCGTAGAAAGATAATAGTGCATCATAGGCATGGTGAGTCTTATCCCCTTCACTCCTTTAAAAGGTTTCAAGGTTTTCGAAGCCAATCTTTTTCCAGATCCCCGAAAAAAAAAATTCACTACTCTCATCAAGGAGTGGAAGATAAAATATTTGATTAACTTTTCTTAAATATCATCCAAGAGTGAAGATGGTAGTGCTAGATAGCAGTGTTTTTTTAATTGTTTACCAGGACGTGATTTGAACGGAAGAGGACTGCTATCCATTCATAGTCCATCTCTGCACTTAATTTGCTGAAACGTTAGGGACGACAGCAGCATATAGCAAAACATCTTCCCATACATTAAGATAATTATTCGTACCTCATAATTATACAAGATGCTAACACGTTTAGGATATATGCAAGGGTTTCTAATTGTATACTATTAAACTGTTGAATACTAGTAAAAATAATACATCCCAGCCCAGAACAGCTTTTTAATAGAGACTGATAACGTTCCATTAGATGCCTACCTTTCCATGAGATGCCTTTGAACTAATGAATCACACTCCATTCTCCAAGAAATCATCGTTAAAATTAAGACAAGCAACCTTCATCTTCAAAATTAAATTGCAGACTTCTCACCAACCACAAGAAGGTGAATCTTTTATTTGTTTTCCCTTCGGTTCAGGAACATCCACATCCAGACCTGAGATTGGGCTAGTTTTCCTGATTTCTTGAAATAAAACTCCAATCACGAAAATAGTAACATTACAAAACCTCTGTTGTGGCCAAGATAAATATTTCCTGAAGCAAGACTGCACTATGTACGGCTAGCCTAGCACAGGAGAGGAAAGAGGCTGACTTGAGCCTTGTTACAGTAGTTTATCTAGGGATGGCAAAATTCCCAATGCCTCATTGCCCTGCCCTGAACAATAAGCAGGGCGGGGATAGGGAACATGGTCCCTGTCACAAATACTTTTATTTCATTTTTATGATTTTCAACTTAAAAAAATTTTCATTGAATAAAAACAGGGCAGTAAATGAGAATATTTGTCGATACCGACACTCCTTGGACACTCTACTATAAACATTTTTCATTGTTTATTAAAAATATTATATATTTTTAACTCAAGCTTATTAGTAAATAACAAATAGGTACTCATATTTAAAATATTTCAAAATAATAATAATAATAATAATAATAACAATAATAATAATAATAATAACAAGTGTAAAACTAAATTTATACTATGCCCTTGTTTGATTTATATTCTCTAAAATTCATTTTTTCAAAACTCATTTTCAATCATACATTCCTCAATAATACTACACGTAAATCCAAAATTTTTACTTAATTTTTAACCACACATTCTCCATCAATCCACTATTCAAAATACATTATTTTCCAAAATACATTATTTTCCCAAAAATGGGGATCAAACAAAGGCTATATAAATGAAGATTTTTAAAAATTTTAATCAATGTGTCGAAGATATATCGTGTCGGCACTTTTTCCAAAAATCACGTGTCGCCATATCTAACACATATCCTGCCAGACACACGTGTCCGTGTCCATGCATCATAGCATCTCGGATTCCAACAGGCGGGGCGGGGATGACCACCCTAGCCCACCCCGTTGCCATCTCTAAGTCTATTAAACTTCCATCTAGAAAAGTAGTTCCAGCTCAGTTTTAGTTTTATTCCAACTATCATGCAGCTGTAAATCATTTGACATTTCCCTCTTCACCTATTGGAGTACGCCATAGTAAGCCCCCTCAATGATGCTTTGAAAATAAACAGCAGAGAATGACAATTATCATTTGGACAGTTCTTAATATCCAAATGGACTTGAGGATGATTTTGCAAGGTAATTTTTATCTGATATGAACAATGTAAAAGGCGACGTTCTCTTCCTACTCCTCCTAACCTTGAAGTTACTTGGACCCCATACACACGTCAGTGCATCAGATCAGATAATCGGTTGGCAAAATGATGAGTTTATGCTACATGGCAAGCACTGGGTGAATAACCATACAAATTTCAGCATAAAAAAATATTATATATTTCATTAATAAAGCCAAGCACAAGGTACAAGCACCGTACAGCAATAAAACCAGAGAGTACTAAATAACGTTAACTGAATAAACACAATAGTACATCATATAAACACCAACAGGTTTAAATATCTGGTTACAATGGGATTTGAGGACAGCCGCCTAACAATTCAATTCGCCAGGAAATATTCAACATCAGGACCCCTTTATTCTTTTTTTCTCTTCAGGGGCTGGGAGTTGAAGATAGAATAATGTGTAACAACTATAATGCCAGTAATAAGAACATAAAACAACGTTATTACTTCAGACCACAAATTTCTGCAGTCAAGTACTAGGGTGCTTGAAATTACAAAGAGCTACTTGGGTAATATAAAGTTAGTGAATCACACAGGGAAGGATGCGGGTACCCACAAAACTTACCAAGAGCAATTTGCATCTTATCAGTAATAAAAAGGCGAGGTCTGGAGACTCTATCTGCAAAAGCATCCAGTATATCTTCCAGCCTCCTAATGTCAAAGCCACATGAAAGGATAAGATTAAAATAATAATAATAATAATTCACTTCCGCTGATTAACTGACAATATAACCAAGATGAAGCCAAAACCAATGGATACAGATTGCAGAATATAACTACTCGGTGACCAAGCTATACTAATGCAAAACTAAGAAAGGGAACCACACAACTGGGGAGCAGTTTTCATTGGGGTCCAAAGTCTAAAAAACGTGATGCAGAACTCAAAACCCAATACAGACCGAGGCAATGCTGCTCATTTGAGTAGTATCATGTTAAGAAATGGATATGACAAAACAACATTTTTCTGCAGATGACATAACCACGTTAGTGTGGCAAGAACAGACAAAGTATTATACCATAACATGAATTCTTTAGCCACACTCCATTAAATTTATCACAGATTCCAAAAGATCCAATGAAATCAAATTTATTAAAATCAAATTAACAAATTTATTGGAATTGCTTGCTCTTCCTAATAGGAGTTTCTTTAGGTGTAAGGAAGGCATATCCAACCACAATTCATCTTAGTTAAGCTAAATTATCGAACCCTATGTGATGGAAATCCTTAATAATATTATATTGCAAAACTTACCAAGACTTGAATGGTATTTCAGGAAAAACAATTAGAATTTAGTTTCAAAGATAGTATTTTATGTAATTTCTTTAGCCGTTTCTTATGAGGGTTAGCTCTTGTTTAAATTAAATTTGATTGAGTTAGTTTTTGTTTTAATTATACTTCATTGTTGAACACAAACATATTTATCTCTCCAATTTCTATTCAATCTCTCATCAATCTCCATATTCTTTCTGTCTCTCTCTCCTCCGTCCCTCCCCTTGTTTATTTTTTTTAACGAGAACAAACTTCAACACAAAGAACTAAGACAGAGGAACAGTTCCACCATTTTTTTTTCTTCTTCCTTCTCTACTTTTTTCCCTAAGCTAATAACAACCAAAAAGAACAGAAATCAAAGAAGTAAACCAAAATTCTTCTCACAGGCTGATTACAAAAATTTCAGCAATGACCTTTTTTTCCTTTTTAGTGGCACCTTGATTCGGCTACAGTGTTCGAGGCTGGTTTTATGCATTTGGGGCTTTTGCGTGTTTTTCAGCGGTTAGAGGTAGGGCAGAGGACAGCAGCGGCTGGTTGATGGATTGGGATTGGCTAATATCACATAATTCAAATGGTGTGCTACTCGTACACCAACTCTAGGATCAAGTTTATATTATGAGGAATAGCCGGTGCTCTAAGATGTTATATATTTACTGAATCATGCACTTAAATTTGGATTAAGGACCACATTTAAACCAATTCCCTTAAGTTTATCTAATCTATAACTTAGCATTGAAAATAATTATCAGCAATTTTGCTTATTGTGCTTTTAGACTCTTTGTTCATTGTTGAACCTTTACTCTAGTCTTATGCTGCTAACTTTTGGATAATTCAAATGCTTGTGATCTCTTTTAGAAAGAGTAGTATGTCCTGTATTCTACATTTATATATCAACCATATTCATTAGTCATTCCAATCGTGACTCCCCCTTTTCATTTCCATCCAACCTGTCTCATTCTTCTGAGATAGGACCGATACCCAGCCTCAAATTCCTGCTTGCCCCCTTTTTCTTCTTCCCTTAGCGGTTCATTAATAATGAAACTAAATTTTAAATGGACACTATCTTCTCAACAAATACATAGACACACTATAAGACCTCATTTTCTTATTTAGGCAGCTCATATTACATATAAATAAATACCTTTTTAGTTCAGAAATTTTTATTAGCATAAACAAAGTTAATTTATTCACATTTTTGGTAAACTATAACTCCCTGTAGTTTATTTACAACTGACCCGGCTTAAATGTTTGGCTAAGCTTAAAAGTAAGTTAAGCACTTTGACTGCAACAAGATAGTGTAAATCACACATTCCTAACTTTGGCAAAAAATTATCGGTTCTCATTACTAATTAGTAAATTTTTTAAGCTTAGCCCAAACATGAGTTGAAATGCTATGCACTATGGTATTATCACAATTACTAACCACAAATAATCACCAATTCTTAGATTTCCAAAATCCAGAGAACAATACTCATAACTAAGAAATATTACTAGAATTATAACTTATAAGAAAATAGTAACAAGAATTACTTGTAAATCTTCCAGAAGAGAGGGCGGAGGGCTTCCTGGAAGGCAACAGAAGTGAGAATGATGAGCATGCAGGGCCACAATGACCCAGTCTTGAAGGGTAGAAATGCTCTCCAGAGTCCCGACAACACAATCAGACTTATCAGCCATACCAAGGTACTAGAATCAAAATAAAAAAGAAAAAATACACATTTTTAGATCACATAAATAACCATATCTGGAGAGATATTTGCAAATAAATAATTAAAAAAATAAAAGCAGAAAAAACGAAAGGAAATGAACCTGGAGAGAAGGGTGAGGATGAGAAACGGTTTCTTGGCAATAACGGCGATAAAAAGTGAGAGAGATGGACCCAATGCTAACAATGTATACCCAATCCCTGCTGCCACAGTCATTTTTATTTGGGTTGATTACTCGACAGAATTATCTGGTAATATTGTAAAATTTTTCTCTAATATTAGTTTCTATGCTCAGGATATGAGTGATTTACAAAAGAAAATTTACCCTTTCATAAATTTTCACCCGACCAACCAATAGTTATGCATAGTGCTAAGCTTACCTAACAACAAACTAGAACTAATGGAGATCAAGTTCAAAGATAGCACAAAGTTCCTAATCTAGAAACGAATACATTTGTTATTCGGAAAACAACCACGCGTGATTTCTTGTAGTGGAAAAATGAAATTGAAGATCGAATTCTTCAAAAACCCTAGGTTTCGCAGTGTGTGTGAGAGAGGAACTTTTTCAGCTTTATTGACAGTTGACAGGGGATAGATCAAGTGATCAACTGATCGTTTGGTTGGGATTTTATTAATTGATTTTTTGAAGTAGGTCTATCTACGAAAAAATTTAAAAATGGTGGTTGAAATGGTGAAATAATAATCAAAATTTTGGTTTTAATTAGGTTTTAAGTTGTACTGAACATACTCTAAGCCTCGTTTGCCCGTTAATTTTCATTCCATTTTTTCTCCATCCTATTTTTAACCGTACAATTTTTCATAAAATAATATTACACGTAAATTTAAAATTTTTCATTCTTTTTCAATCACTCATTTTAAAAAAAAACACTATTTCACTCATTTTCATTTCTAAAAATGAGGGCCAAACAAGGGCAAAATGGAAATGAGACGGAGTAGACATCACCCAAAAAAACATTTTTTATTTTTTTAATTTTTTCACTTGTACACAAATAAAACATTTGTTCAGAAGGCGAGTTGGGAAAAGAACTATTTGGTACCCATTTTTGTAAGAATGAGAATGAAAAATATAGTCGTTAAGAAACACACACAAGAAATAAAAAGTCAAATATGGTGACTTGATGTGATGAATAACGGTCATCTTTTTCATTTTTGTTGCCAAAGTATGAAAATCAAACGGGCTTTAATTATTTAAAATTGTTAAAAGACCTTTTTACCCTTATATTGTAAAATGAAATTGAAGAAGAATTAGGGATTTTCTTTGTTTCTATTTCAACTTACATGTGAAAACCATCCTTACCTCTTCCCCAAGGAAGCCCATTGCTTGCATCCATCCCATTCTCACTTGGGCTTACACCATAAAGCAAAATCACATTTTGCTATACACACAGAGCAAAGGAAGGAATTACCTATGGATTCAAAGGCGGTGTTACGAGCGTTAGAACGAGAAAAAGGTTTAAAAGGTTGTAAATTTCTTGCAACCATTAAACCGTCGCCTTTAACACTGTTTTCCATATCTATGTAATGTGAACTTTTGCAAGATGTATTTCTTAATTCTTAGGTCTTTTTTTCGTTATCAGAGTAGAGCATATGTGAGAGAGAAATTGATGGATTTTAACCAAGGCTAAGGTTGATTTTGGAAATTATCATGCCGTCATTCTTGGCCTGTGCTTTTTGCTTTTGGAAAAAATAGACGATTTTAACTTTTCTGGATGATTAATTGTAGCACTCATGACGAAATGATCGTTATTGTATTATGCTAAATCTTTTCTGTGGATTATTTTTGATTGATTTTCAGTAGTTTTATTGGGTTTTTCTAAATATTATGGTATAATCTCTTATATTGGATTTCTTATGTGTAGGAATAAGTTTTGATGCATGCTGATTTTGATTACTCATTATGCTACAATTTTTTATTTTATTATTATTATTATTATTTTTTTTTTTTATGTGTTTCATTAAATTTGATTTTTCATCCCATGTTACAATTTATTTATTTTTTTGGGAAAAGTCTAGTGTTCATCTATACAAGACAAAATTTGTCTGCAAGTATGTAAATTTCGTGAATTTGGCTAAAATTAGTATCTTTTAATATTTATTGTCTTTTAAGAATGGTGCTTTTATTTCTTTTTTGATATTCATGATTTGTAAGGCTAAAGATAATTTTTTCATTTTTGCATATGAAAAGTTTGAGCTTCTCAATTTCAGTTTTGTCTTGATAATTCAAAGTTTGATTTGTTTCCAACCTCTGCTTGTAGAATAGATCATTCATGATTCTTTAATAACATCGCCATAAACTCTTTTACGAGTTTTGGATTAATGGTTATTTTGTTTTCATCATTTTTTGGTTTCTTATTCTTGTTTGGATTATTGATTATTCCTTCAGCAATTAACTCTTTTCATTGTCCTTCAAAATGCATTGAGTTCTTCTCATTCTTCTAAGAAAAATCGAATTTCTAGAAAGTTTACCAAATGTTTAAAAGGAAAAAATGACTTCTTATGTAAGGTTTAAATGATTTAGAAAATGAAAAATGCTGAATTTATAAGCAAATTACTATACTAAGGTGAAGGCAATTAACTATAAAGTCACGGCATACACAATTTATAATATATTGTACTTCCAAGTTCTCTAAAACACATCGGGCAAGAACGATTAATAAGTGAATATTAAAATAAAATATACTTTCTTTTTAGCAATCATAACACCTGCCATTAAATCTCATATTTTGCAACATTTCTTCTACTATAGAAAAAACTAGAAGAACTAGGTAACTTGTTTTAATATTTTTAGTTTTTATATTTGTTATTATGTGCATTACTACCATCATTTCTTATATTTGAACATATTTTATAATTTGCAGTACTATGGAGAATATTCTTCAAGTTGACGCTACGATTATAGCGAGATACAGATAGCAAATAATGCGAGATGTGTATGAGAAGCTCGATACAAATTACAAAATCAAACTTTGCGAGAGCTGCTTAGAATCTCTCCTCGGGTTGAAGGATATAAGGTTGGCTTCACAAGTTGTACATCAATTATTATTATGAAAGATAAGGACCGACAAAAAAGAAGTTTGGCCTAAGATGGGGGAGAAACGAGCAAAATTTGGGTCGAAAGAATTTGTTTTAATTATGAGCTTAAATGCGGGTGATGATAACTACGTAGATAAGACCTTGGGGTAGAGTATTGGATCGTGAGAAAGTATTTGAAGAAAAGTGGGGGGAGATAACGAAGGGAGATGCTTACGATGCATTTGTAAGTTGCAAGAAAAGAAAGATGGATAAGTATAAGTTGGGATTGATCGTAATCTTGATATACGTCCTGTACGCCACGGAGGAAAATAGCTACATCGACTTATGGTGGTTAGGCTTGGTGGATAATCTCGATAAGATCGAGACGTATCCAGGATAAAGTTTTCTTTTGAATACACGATCAGTATATCCAAACGTGAAATGGGAGGTAAATTGAAAAGTTCTGATGTCGGAGGAGAGTCACGTTGTCGGTATTCGTTGCATAGATTTCCCCTCGCCATAATGGTATGAACAAACAATACACTTGACTTGTATTATTTTTTTATATATCAATTTGTGTCTTTGAAATAATAATATTTGTTTTGTAATAGATTTGGGCATTCGAAGCAATTCCAACTTTGGGAATGAATTTGCTACGAAATATTCCAATGTAATTCCAAGAATGGTCAGTTAAGAAATGCCGAAGAGGTTAGCATCTGCTGCCATTGATAACGTATTGAATTCGAAGGAGGTAAAATTATCTCTTTTAAGTTTAATGGGAAGAAATTGTGAAATTAACTTAGTGAATCATTAATGATTTGCACGATTTAATTTTTGCAGTTGGAGGTTAATTATACATTGATTCCTGCTAAAGCCGAACTCGAGAAGACCTATTGGAAAGAGTTGAAACCAATTGTGGAAGAAGATGAGAGTATTTCATACCATTTAGAAGGAGACAGGACTGAACATGATGTCAAGCCACATCATGCATTTCACTAACCCTCTTCTAGAGCATCTCAACCAACACCATTTTCTCATGAGATCAACATAGTAGATTTATTGAGGATGGAAATGGAAAAACTTGAGGGAAAAGACTACAAGCGGTCATATTGATAAGTGTTTTTGTGTACTTATAAAATTGTACCTAACTTTAGTTAATTTTCTTTTATTTTTTAGTGACAGACTTGTTTTGAAGCAATTGGAAAAGAAAAATGATGAAATTGAATGAGATCGGCAAGTTTTGGGATCAAATTCTACACTTTGAAAATTGAAGGGTTTAAATTGAATTTAAGAAGACATGGGCTGTACAATTGGATGAACTCAAGGACTAAATTGCATTATTTTAAGAAAATTGAAGGCTTGAAGAAAATTATACACTAAATAGGCCTACTTTTGGACTTATATTTGGAATAAAAATCAACCAATTGGGCTCTTGTTATAGAAAAAAAGAAAGGGCTACCTGCTAATATAGATATATACATGCCAGTCGCCAAAAGCGAGAAGGAAGGAAAAAAAATAAATAAATAAATAAATGCTGCTGGCATAGAATTGAGGCCGAGGGAATTACAAAAGATCACATACACACTTACAGAAAGCGGCGCCAATTTTAAGAAAACATAAATATATATACACATGGCCAAAATTTGAAGAGGGATGGTTACATGCATATTACGTAAACACAAAAAAAAAAAAAAAAAAAAAAAAAAAAGAGAGGCTGGCTGTTGGAAATAAAAAAAGACTGCTTTTTGGCATTAAAGGGAAAATTGGGCAGCTTCTAGAGATAAGTATAAGTTTGTGGCTGTAAGTGGAATATATATACACGTGCGTACCGGCAGAAGAGGACATACACAAGAGTGGGCGTAGCTTTGGAAATTGGAATTAATCACGTTTCATCGATTTTTGGTAATGTCTTTTATCCTTTCTTTGTTTAATCTTAATATTATGCTCGGCTAAATTATTTTGTGCTAGGATTTGTGATGAACCTTATGTTATGAACTTTTAACTTTTGAAATTTATTTATTTTGGCGTTAAAACGCGTATTTAATTATTGAATGATTGCATAGATTTTATTTTCTCTACAATTATATGCGCAATAATTGTATGAGTTTTGTGGCTTGTTTTACTCTTGAGAGATGGAAAATAAGTTAGACATTGTGTCAATTGTCGTAAAGTCCAATAGATGATAGAAATATACCGCTATACTTTACGTGACCTCTAGTATTTATAATTTTTTAATACATTTTTATATGTTCGCATTCGTCATAGAAATATAGTCGGATCACATGTAAAAATAGGTTTAGGTCTATTCAAGAGAGATTGTTAAACGAATTAGGAATATTGGTCTTCATAATTGAATCGTATTGTCAAATTTATAAATTTCAAGTTAAAGAGGATTAATATAAGGGGACTCAAGGTCCTAGTACGCTTATCATCAACATATTTTTATAAAACTTGCATTTAATTTAGGTTTTACATTTATTTTAGTTAAATTAGATTTTGCATTCATAAGTAAATTATTTAATTTATCGGAAGACGAAGATAATTTGAATTTAAATTAAT